GCGCCTCATGCTTCCCAAACCCTCCTTCATCCGACCGAACATGATCGCCACACCTTTGCAAGAACACACATCGTTGGGAATGATTGTCCGTGCATGGCAGTGCAACAACCCGAAATGTCGTGCTGCTATGATCCAAGTACATNNTGCCTAACATCCAAAATTCTAGATGCGAATGACCGCAAGCAAGCCTTGATTGCACCGGCAAGCAGCAGGGTCGAGCGATCTGCGGTGATTGACAGACAACGCCACTTCTGGTGCGACCGCTTTGTATCTATTTCGCTCTGTCTGTGTTGCAGTGGTTCTGGGTTTGCGTGCCTTCGTGGCAGTGTCTCGGTGTGTGGGTTAGCATGTCTGCGCACGTGCTTGTTGCAATTGCCTACACGCGAGACGCAACAGAGACCGTTCATGCTAATGCCTCTTCAAAAGGTGCACCGAACTCTGCCGGGTACATGCGACCGTAGTCAAAGTCTTTGTCCAGCTGTGTTTGAGCCAAGACAGGCTGCTCCATGCCGCTTTAGTATCGATGTGAGCGCGATGTGGCCTGCTCAATCAGCAGCCATGATGGCACCAGTAAAGGCATGCGCGCCCCTGCCGCCCGAATTTTCATCGATAGCAGCAGAGGCTGCGAAACGCTTCATTCAGCGCCTGCGCCGGTACGTTTGCTCAGTCTAGGTTTGAGCGAGTTTGTGACACTCTTGACTGGAACTTCTCGGTCTGAAGGACGAACCCAACATTCAGAATGCAACACTTGATCCGGCAGCCGCTCATGCTGCAACTTACCGCAACAAAGAGCTGCAGTAGACGCGCCTGCCACAGGCCTGGCTCGGCCTGGGCCGCCTCGTGCACCGCATCTTTCCCCCCGCCGGCATGCAGCACATGCCACAAAGCACGCCCCGCCTCTGCACGGGTCTTCTCCAAAGCCGCCTCCCCCTGACACACAGAAGCTGCCGGACAGAAAATCTCTGCTGCACCTCTCGTCTTCCCCTTTCCTCTTGCTCCACCAGCCATGTGCGTCTGGACAGCCTCCTAAAATGAATGTTCTTTTCTT